GCGGCGTCGAGCCCCGTGCCCGCCGTGAGCTGCTCCGCTATGTCCAGGTAGGCGCCGGTGCTCTCCTCGTACTCGGCCCACTTCACTCCGAGCGAGCTGTCGGGAGTCGGGTTGCTGAAATGCAATGTTCCTTTCATTTACTTTGGTCTACAAACATTGAACTTGGCTATGAAAATATCGCAAATCCATCATGAGCCGTGAATGATTCTGCGAATGTTTTTAAATTGGTATTGCTTGCAATGTGCGCTGTCACTAGATAAGTGATAACTCACCCGTACTTAGCGAAGTTCGTGAAAAGTTGACACGTTTGTTTAATCATTTTGTATGTCGAGCTGTCCTTGTCGAGCGGCAGGTTGAGCAGCTTCGGGTCGAACAAATGCATCAGGTCGTCGAGGTGAGATGTTCCAACTATACCATACTTAAGTCCTTCTTTTCCGTAAATGCATCTGTCAGAGATGCAAGAGAATTTGTACATGTAAATCCTTGTTCCGATTTTAGGCAAAAGGTTAACATATTTGTGTATGTTGTAAGTGAAAGTGGAATGAGAAGCATAATCGACAAATCCTTTGATTTGGTCTTCATTAATGGGCTTATCTTCGAAGTATTGTTTGTGAATTCTGTCTGACAAATTCATCACGGTTCCGGCGTTGCAGTTCAATAAAATCTTTCTAGGAACGAGCATTTCGGGATATCGGTTGTAGGATTTGACCAATTTCGTGAAAATATATTTCAAAAGGATCAACGATTCTTGGCTCGTATATCCTATCATAACGTCCACTTTGTTCACTCGACCATTCCTCATTGCTACTGCGGGATCTTCTGTTATGAAATGATCGCGCCCAAAGTCTTTCTCAACAACTGGCCCAAAATGGAACATTTTAAGCAGATTGCTGGATTCCGTTTCTTCAGATACTAATACGCAAGGATTGGTATCGACTAATTTTTCAACTGGAATGTTTTGGAGAAACTCTAAAAGTTCCTGCGGATCGGTGGTTTCTAATCCCAGCTGCTTCCCCAGGACGAATGCGCGCCTCCTAGGTTCAAAGCTAGTAGCCCAGTCACAGAAGGGCACGCCGCTCATGGGGATCGCTCGCGTGAAGAGGCCTCGCGACAGCGGTGAGAGCACGTGAAGAGCAGTGGCAGCGCCGCCCGCGCTCTCGCCAAACACCGTCACGTTGTTAGCATCGCCACCGAAACTCCCTATATTATGCTTGACCCACCTCAGAGCAGCCACTTGGTCCTTCAAGCCGGCGTTTCCCGGAACCTCAGCTGTGTCCATGCAAAGAAATCCTAATACTTCTAGTCTGTAATTAATCGTGACAACTACAACGTCGTGACACACAAGAAAATCCGGTCCGTAATGATCCACGTCGCCCGATCCACTCTTGAATCCACCGCCATGGATGAAGACCATTACCGGCAGTGGTGCCTTGGGCTCCAAGCTCGGCGAATAAACGTTTAAATAAAGGCAGTCCTCCGATCCAGCCAACAGTTCATTGGTAAATATGTCCTTTTGAGGACAGGGAGATCCGTGTTGGTTAGCTTTTCGTACACCAGTCCACGGTAGCGGGGGTTGTGGAGCCTGAAATTGAGAAAAAAATCTTGTGTATTTTGTATAAAATATTTTTTTTATTACTTCATTTGCAGCATACAAAAGCGTCGGTGGCTCAGAGGTTAAGCACTTGCAATCTGCAGGTCCTGGTTTCGAATCCTGACATGTAACAATATGGTTTTCGATTTTCGATTAACATTTACACATTTATACGACATTCTTACAGTGATGGAACACATGGTGATGGCACAACGTTAGTTACCATATTCGTCCCAAACGGCTTGACCGATTTTTATGGAATTTTATATGCATATTCAGTAGATCTAAGAATCGACTTTTATCTATTTTTTAACCCAGCGCGGACAGAGTCGCGGCCTTGCATCCCCTCCTCCGTCGATTAAAAGTAGGCAACGCATCTGCGATTGCGAATGTCCATGGGCAACAGTCGCTTCGCTATATTTCAGCAATTCAGGTGGCCGCTTGCTCGTTTGCTATCTTATGATATAAAAAAGCGAAATAAATCGAAATAATAGTCTACTATTAAAAATCTATTACTAAAAACTATAGTTCGTTTTTATTTTCCATGTTTTTAAAGTAATCAAAAAGTGATTCAATAGCAATAATCATTAATTGTTTGTTTACCTTGAATCTAAGAGTTTGTATGGGGGGTGCGGCGTAGGGAATGCCTTTAAAGCTGTAGTAGCGGCGGTCCCCGCTGATCGCATCGAGCAATTCGCCCTCTAGCAGGCCCTGCTGCACTGTCACCTGCGCCATGATCGCCGCACGTCCGTCGCGCTAGCCAGCCGCGGCGACACTGTTACAAGTCGTACCTCGCGCCTGGACACGACGAGCGAGGTGCGTTGCCAAATCACCTATTAACGCGTTCAAAAATCTCGGCGACTCGGAACGTCTCAGGAGTCGCTGTGTACAACACAATATTAGGTGTAGCGGTGAGGTGGCGGTGGGGTGGGGTGGAGTGAAGGGGCACTGCGCAAGCCGCGGCAGATCTTGAGCCGACAAAATGATTGAAACGCCCAATACCACGAAAAACGACTACTAACTATCATAATTAGCTAGTATTGTTTGTTTGTCCGACAATATTTGATTTCTGAATGAAGAATGAGTAAAGTTAAATTATATCAAGGATTACAACTTCATGGTCACAATTGTATGTGATCGAATGTCATCCAGATGGCTTGTGGCTGAGTATTTCTTGAACTAGGTACACAATGATAAACAAAATCAAATTAAAGCGTCCGCCGCAATCCGTGATATGAATAAAATATTTGTGTCTCAATATAAACCCACAGGGCGACATTATAGGCAACATTTTAATGTTTTACACAAGGCTTAAGTCGTTTTACTCTACAACCGGTTTGGTTTGGTGTATATGTACTCGGCACCGTCCTGTGATACCTCAAGCCACTCCTCACACATTCACATAAAAATATATAATACAATCACACAAAAATCTTAGTTTCACACCCACATCTGTTAACTGATTCGTGTCGGTTATGAGCAGATACACCTTAGTCCTTCTTACATTTCTTTTTGTCCACTATACCAGTGATTCCTAAAGAGCTCTCTCTCTCTCTCTCTCTCTCTCTCTCTCTCTCTCTCTCTAAAGAGGTGAAAGTCTCCGGGCGCGCCTAATGCTGGGGCAAATGTGATATCTATACTGACTACCTATACTTATCTATACATATCTATACTAGTACTAGCTGTCCGACTCCGTAGCGACTCCGTCCGCGTGGGATAAAAAAAATAGGTAGTAGCCGATTCTGAGATCTACCGAATATGCGTATAAAATTTCATAAAAACTTGTTCAGCCATGTCGGAGGAATATGGTAACTAACCTGACACGAGAACTATATATATCATACTTTATACTAATATTATAAATACGAATGTTTGCATGGATGGGTGGATGTTTGTCAA